AGCTCTCAAGTCAACCTCACCATTACACCTGCAGATGAAGAACATAAAGATGTTAAGGGAAGAGTCAGCAAAACAAAGTTGAAGGCCGTACCATCGGAATATCCGCCAATGGATCATGCCTTGTTCAAGACATTATTCCATCGTCCATATTTCCATGTTCAGATGGTTTCCGATGTAGCAGGTGTTTCTCTTGGCGGAGCTCTCAAGAACATCGTTGCACTAGCTGCGGGTTTCGTTGAAGGTCGTGGTTGGGGAGATAATGCAAAGGCGGCTGTTATGCGAGTGGGCCTTCTTGAAATGGTCAAATTTGGCAAGGAATTCTTTGGAGAGACTGTTCATGGTGGTACTTTCACCGAACAAAGTGCTGGCGTTGCCGATTTAATCACAAGCTGTAGTGGAGGACGAAACTTCAGATGTGCGAAGATGGCAATTGAAAGAGGGGTTACTGTCGATGAAGTTGAGAACACGGAATTGAATGGACAAAAATTGCAAGGTACTAGTACTGCAAAAGAAGTCAATGAGTTTTTGAAGTCTAGAGGAAAGGAGGGCGAATACCCATTATTTACTGCTGTCATTAGTAAGTCCTTGAGTCTACCTATACTTGTAAAGATTTCGCATACTAACAAGATCAGATATTCTGGAGGGCAGAAACACTGTTGATGATATCCCGGATTTGTTGGCCAAGTCGGATGAGTGAGAATTACAATAGCAATACATGGGATGGGCTTACGGTAAAGACTAGATAGAAGACGCAAGTCTTTGATTAGAAGGTTAGATGAATATTATGGCTTACATCAATTCTCTTTTCCTATTCTTCCTCGGAGATCAGCCTTCAAGGTCCGTAAGATTTCCTCCGGACCGACAATTTAAACTAATTTCTCGGAGATCTTCCCTCGGAGATCTGTATTAGCCATGCTCACTGTACGACGAGGTTTCGATTCCTCTGAAGATTTCGGTTCACCGTTTCGTGGGTTCCAGACCAATCAACGATCCACGTTAATAATTACAGGGGTTGACCCCACCAATGACATTGCTAAAACTTTTGTTGCGCGATGAATCATACGTCTCGAGCTTCTCAATGATTGCCCCGCGTACAAATTTCCAGAACAATTAATTCTATCTCTCAAAGAAAAATAATCTCACCTCAGCATACTTATGGAATATAAAAATCTATCCATTGAAGGAAAGCATCATCACGAAATATAAAAGAAACACATTTACCTAAAGATGTCGGTAAGTTAACAAACAAACACTCTTCTCATTCATTCAAGATGCCTCATTTCACAAGAAACCACTCTGACTCATTGAAGGCCTTCTACATAGAAAATCAGAGCGTTGGACATAAGGACAGTACTGAAGATTGGCGCAGTAAGTACTGGATATTTCCATTGCTCCAGCTTGTATCAAAGAGTGCGACTGACAAAGCTTCCCTACAGTTCGAGGATACAACCCATTGACACCTCCCGATTTGCTTCAACATGAAATTCCTCAAACCCCAGAATCCAAAGCAACAGTCTTAAAGGGTCGCAATGAGTCCGTCGATATTGTGACTGGTGCAGATAAGAATGGCAGACTACTAGTAGTCATCGGCCCATGTTCAATTCACGATCCTGCCGCTGCGCTCGAATACTGCGACAAGCTCGTAGCTCTCAAGAACAAATACGAAGATGATCTATTGATTGTCATGCGCTCTTACCTTGAGAAACCAAGAACAACTGTTGGCTGGAAGGGACTCATCAATGATCCTGATATCGATAACAGCTTCAAAATCAACAAGGGATTGAGGATCAGCAGACAATTGTTCGTGGATTTGACGGCGAAGGGAATGCCAATTGCTAGTGAAATGTTGGATACTATTTCACCACAATTCTTGGCAGATTTATTGAGCGTTGGAGCTGTTGGGGCTAGAACTACTGAGAGTCAATTGCACAGAGAATTGGCCAGTGGATTGAGTTTCCCAGTTGGATTCAAGAATGGTACCGATGGTAGTCTTGGTGTAGCTATCGATGCAATTGGTGCCGTGCGACATCCTCATCATTTCTTGTCAGTTACTAAGCCTGGTGTTGCTGCCATTGTTGGTACAGTTGGAAATGAGGATTGCTTCGTCATTCTCAGAGGTGGTACTAAGGGTACTAATTATGATGCAAAGAGTATTGGAGAGGCAAAGGCTGCGCTTGAGAAGAATGGTGTCAGACAGAGATTGATGGTCGATTGCAGTCATGGAAACTCATTGAAGAATCACAAGAATCAACCAAAGGTTGCAGCTGTATTGGCGGAACAAATTGCCGCAGGAGAAGATGCCATTATGGGTGTCATGATTGAGAGCAACATTAATGAAGGTAAGATCCCTCAACCAATTTTATGACGAACTATCACTTACTCTGTCATTAGGTGCTCAAAAGGTTCCAAAGGAAGGAAAGTCTGGTCTCAAACATGGTGTCAGTATTACCGATGCTTGCATTGGATGGGATGACACCGAGTCGGTTCTTGAAGAGCTAGCAAACGCTGTCAAGCAAAGAAGAGAGCTCAAGAATGGTTCAAATGGCAATTGAAGGGCAAGAAAGTCTGGATGAAGTAGAGGGTGTTAGGTTGGAACTGCGGTGCATATAATGAGCATAGTCGTGTATCCTTCGTTAGTAAGGAGTTATTGGTTTGAGAAAAAAAGAGGTTTTGAATAGTTACATTTTGCAACACAATGGATATAGATAGTTTTGCAGTCATTTTGTGGTTTTGTGCGTGTGTGAAAAGACCAATCATGTTGTGCTTAATACAATTTGTCAGCATTGAAAGTGCAAGAATCATATCTGACAAGATGACAAAATACATGACAGCTTAGAAAAAAGTCAAAAAATTCGACATCTAGTATATCTTCATTACAACGTAAAAATAGCATTTTGAACCTTCCATATTACCGGGGATGATTTTAATAATTGAGATTTTGTAGCCATGATTGTCCGAGAAATAATCGTGTAATGAGTTTCAGCCAATCAAAATCTATTGAGTGGTAAGCCTGTGCCTAAGGCATAATTTAGCTTCTTTTTCGGATCATTTTCGAACTATTTGTCGCCGCACCCTCACAACTTCAATCTCGAATCCTATTATTCAATTGATCAGTCAAACCCACCTTGAACTGATTCCCAGATCAAGGCATATTTTGCACAATATGTTGGCCAGATCATGCCTGCGCTCGACGCGCTCGTTCGGGGGAGTACGGAATAATGCAATTAACGCTACAAAGGTATAATTATTCCCCATCCCCGAGGTCAAGATACAGAACACTTCGATGTGGGCGGCAGTGATAGCATGGGGGCAGTCCAATGTGTTGAGCTGAAGACTAATGTTATATCTTGTAGCGTGCCGCATCTACTTCCACTTCCGCCGAAGCCGCTTCTCCCTTCGGTATCAACATGGCTGCAGGTGCTGCTACCGCAGTGGCGGCAGGATCCCTCGCCTGGTACTATCATCTTTATGGCCAGCCATTAAACGCTATGACACCAGTTGAAGAAGGGTGAGTAGTCACATATCTTTCCAAGTCAGGTCGAACATTTGTGGGGTGATGGGAACTCCGGCAATACCAAATGAAGACTGCAAGACAAGTAGCATATAAGTTAGTACAATACTGATCCGACACCAGTCTTCATCCAACACAATACCCATGGGTCCACCAACAATACGCCAAGACATTCGATCACCAAGCGTAAGAATCCTATTTTCTATTAAGAAAATTGGCCTGTTTTAATAATAAAGAATAGATTACGAAGAGGTTTCCAAGTTTACCAAGAAGTTTGCGCATCATGCCATTCTTTGAGCCGTATTCCATACAGAGCTTTGGTCGGTGTTACACACACAGTCGATGAGGCCAAGGCTATGGCCGAAGAGAACGAATACGACAGCGAGCCAAACGATGAGGGTGAAATCGAAAAGCGACCTGGAAAACTCTCCGATTACCTCCCATCCCCATACAAGAATGATGAAGCCGCTCGTGCTGCCAACAACGGAGCTTTGCCACCTGATCTCAGTTTGATGGTCAAGGCCAGACACGGCGGTGCCAATTATATTTTCAGTTTGTTGACTGGTTACCCAGATGAGCCCCCAGCAGGAGCCAAGGTTCCAGAAGGACTCAACTTCAACCCATATTTCCCAGGTACCGGTATTGCTATGAGTCGTGTTCTTTACAACGAACTTGTTGAGTATGAAGATGGTACCCCAGCATCAGCATCGCAAATGGCCAAGGATGTTGTCGAGTTCCTCAACTGGTCAGCCGAGCCTGAGATGGATCAACGTAAGAAGATGGGTATGAAGGTTTTGGTTATTGGATCTATGCTTTTCGCATTGAGCATTTGGGTTAAGCGTTACAAGTGGTCTCCTATCAAGACAAGAAAGATCGTGTATAGCCCACCTAAGACTGGTAACGGTCCTGCACATCACTAGATTCTCAATTTCATTTGTTTAATCGGGGAGCGAAGGGCAGGAAATAAATGTGCTACTAGTTTTATCTTACTGCGCGAATTGTACAAAGGAGAAGTTTTAAATGAGGGTGGTAGATAAAAGCTTCACTTTGGGAGCTAATGCTCAAGAGTGGTAGCAAAATAGATGTGTCCCAATATCCATTCGACTTTTAAAGATTCTCACGAAAACCCTACATGATGAATTTCATGCTCACCACTCCTGTGAACTACAAAGCCTCCCAATATCAATCAATCATTCTCTCAAATATAAATCCAAATTGTACTAGTAATTTCAGTGGACCCTTTGGGTGAATATTGCTGCAGTAACTGAAAAAAGTCCCTCGCTAAATAAAAAAAAGTTGATACCCCAGATTTTCGAGTCCTGTCAAGAAACTTTTTTTTCTATTAGTAAATTTTATTACATCAATACAAAATTGTTCGCAAATTTATTTTTCTTGGTTTTAACCTTGAAATTTGAATTCTTTGGTTTTTAGTTGTTAATCTTTGTATCAATTAATCTGCCAAGAGCAATTACATTAATCCTTTCAAGACATGGCAAAGCGAAACAGTACTCAGGCGGCGGGGTCGCCAGCCGCAACGGAAAAGAAAGTTGATGATGTTACAATGACCAATGAAAATGCGGGTGAAGCCAAGGGAGAGGTTTCTCCATCTGCAAAACCATCTCAAGATGAGGTATACTTCACGACTCTTTGCATTTACCATGATGAGCATTTGGAAAATAGCTAACCTTTTCAATCAGAATGAAAGCGCTGCGCCAATCGACGGTGAACAAGCTACCGGTTGCAATAAACGCAAACGCGATTTCAAAGCCGAGCGCGAGGCCAAGAGACAGAGGAAGGAAGAGAAAAATGCACCTAAGAAGGCTGCGGCTGTAGTGCGAGAGGCTGAGGAGGCGATTGCGAGGGAAAAGAAGTTGGCGGAAAAGGCAGAGGCGAAGAAGATTAGAGAGGAAGAAGTGGCTAGGTTGAGGGAGCAGAAGAAAGAGGAGAAGGCGAAGAAGCATGAGGAGAATTTGAGACAGCAGGATGAGGATAGACGGAAGAGGCTAGAGGAGAAGAAGAAGGAGGCGGAGGCGAAGAAGAAGGATGCTGAGGAGAAGAGGAAGGATAGAGAGAGGATTCAGGCGTTGGAGAAACAGGTTAGGGATTTGAAGAGGGGACATGGGAACGGGAATGGAAAGGGGAAGGGAGCAAAGAGGAGTTGGGATAAGAAAACAAAGGGACCGAAAACTTCGGAATTCTTTGGAGCGGGGTTGAAGGCGCAGGTTATTGGTGATGATGAGGAGGAGGTCGAGGAGGAGGCAAATAAGGAGGTTGCTGAAGAGGCTAAAGAAGAAATTAAGAAGATCAAATCGAAGCGCAGTTGGAAGGATCTCAAGAAGGGAAATGTCGCACCTACTGGTCTGGAAGAAAAGATTGCTGCTGCGAGAGCTTCAGTAGCCCAGGCTGAGGATGCGTTAGATGGCGATGTTACTATGGAGGATGCTCCCCAAGTCAACGGTGAGCAGGAGAATGAGGCCGAAGAGGGAACCTCTGAACCAGCTGTCGGTAACTCCGATGCTGTCGCATATCCTTCTCTTGACCATTTGATCGAAGATAACGCCGAAGATAGTCCCGAGTCTGCCGCCGAATCAGATGCTCCAGCGCAAACAGAAGTGGATGCGGTGATTCCAGAAGAAAATTCAGATGATAAGGCAGATGAGGAGCAAGGAGACGAGGATATCCCCGAAGAAGATAGCAAGGAAACCTCGCCATCCGATCAAGAAGACAAAGCCGAAGATGATTCTTCTAAGGAGAATGCCGCACCTGCAGCTGATTCAGATATGGAAATTGATGAGCCAAAGGAGGATGTCGAGGCCAACGCAAGTGCAAAGAAGCGTTCGAGGAAGAGAGTCAGAAACAATAATCGCTTGGAGGCTGAAGATACACCAACGAAACCTACAACACCTGCTTCATCTAAGAACCAAAAAGTCAAGACACCCACAGCTACACCTCTTTCGTCAAAGAACCAAAATGTCAAAACACCTACAAAATCACCTTCACAAACAAAGGCGACAGTTGCAAAGAAGGGCAGACCTCCAGTGAAGGCGGCGAACAAGGCTCAGACTGCACCCAAATCTCCTAATGTATCAGGAGATTCCAAATCGCCAAAAGCCAAGCGCGGAAGAGTACCAAAAGCTAGAGCTGCCGTTCTTGCCTCAGCACCAGGACTTGATTCTCCAGCTAGGAATACTAGGAGATCGGCAAAAGCCAACCACTCGTAGAAGACCCAGAGTCTACGAGTGGTAGTCAACTTCTGGATATTAGTTTGAGTCACCATAGCCGCGAAATTGATGAAGGCACCGTTGATGAGTTGGGAGGAACAGATATGAACACGGGAACCAATAATGATAATGGTGATGATGATGTTTACGAATCAATCACCTGCGAGTCCCCGGAACATTTCAAACACGAATCTCAAACACCGTCGAAAACGCTACAACTATTTAACGATATGGAACTACCTATATTGAGGAAGACGGAATCACTCGATCTTAATGCTTATGAGAGTGACTCCTCTGAGCTATCTGATCTAAGCATAACCGAGCATCCCTTTCTAGCATCAGATAGTAGCGGTTTTGATACAATTGAAGTTGATGTTCCTAGTCTTCTGAGATCAGGAAAGAAACAAAGACCGCCTATGCATTCACCTTACTTTGCTCTACCACCATCTGCCACTCCATCTCAACCCAGGAAATCCATAGCTTTAGCAGGAGAATCTACAAACAAAGATCCTTCTCCAAAAAATGGATCTCCTAAAAAACGGCCTCCTGGCATAATATCATGTATCCCTTTTCCACCTTTATCTGCACCTCATTTTGGACTTATCCAAGAAAAACTTGCCCATGATCCGTTTCGACTTCTCATAGCCGTTACATTTCTCAATCGTACTCATGGTAAACAAGCCATCCCAGTTTTCTACACTCTAATGGACCAATACCCTACCCCACAATCAATAGTCGATGCTCCCAAAGAAGACATTGTTTCGGTGATCCGACATCTAGGTCTACAAAACCAACGCGCAGCTACTTATCAAGCTTACGCCAAAATCTTTTGCGAAAATCCACCAGTGAAAAATAAACGGTACGCGGTCCATGATTACCCCACTAAAGGACTCGGTCGCGACGTCAAGAAGAGCGAGGTCCTTCCCGAAGAATCCGTAGACCCGCGTACGGGCTGGGAAATTGGACACATGACCCAGGGACCCTATGCGATTGATAGCTGGCGAATTTTCTGTAGGGATATGTTGTTGGGGAAAGCGAAAGGATGGAATGGCGAGGAGAGTGAGGAAGAAGGTTTTCAGCCTGAGTGGATGAGAGTGCTTCCTGAGGATAAGGAGTTGAGAGCGTTTTTGAGGTGGATGTGGTTGAAAGAGGGCTTTGAGTGGGATCCAATAACAGGGGAGAAGGAGGTTGCGGGGAAGGAGGTCATGAGAGCGGCGTTGGAGGGGAGGATTGCTTGGGATGAGGGGGGTGGGATGAGGATTTTGGATAGCGTGGGGGAGGTGGACGTGGAAGGGGTAGATTTTGACAATGTTGGTAAGGTGGATGGATGAAAGTCGGAATGGTAGATGGATGAGCTTGTTTTCTGGCATAATACTTGTTTGATATAGAGCTTAGATGATGTTGTATACTCTCTCTGTGTATATCATAAATATCGCGTGTGGACTTCGGGAATATCAAATCAAAAGAGAAAATCAAAATCAAAAGTAAAAGGAATCGCGGGTATAATTTCTGTCTCTGCTTTTCTTCTGTGTATGTATATCTGAGAACTTCAGAATCGTGATTTCTCTTATTTCTCTCGTTCTCTTAGGGTTGGATAGCTAATTTAAGTAGGAAGATTGCATACATATTCCGAATGCTCTAGTGAGTGTTCAAACACTTTTACTGCTCTTTCATGTTTGTTCTAAGTCATAAAATACGAACCCGCAGACTGATGGAGAGTTACTATACTCTTACAGGACTGACAGCCAGAAGTCAGATCAGAAAGTGCACCAGTGGGAAATGAAAGATACACTCGGAAGTGTCTATCTAATATGTTGACAGAGCTTTCCTTTCTTTTCTTTTCTTTTCTTTTCTTTTCTTTTCTTTTCTTTTCTTTTCTTTTCTTTTTTCCATATTTTATGTTTCATAATTTATCTTGTACTGCTAGTTGTATTGAAGAAAGAGCCTGGTTGGACTGGGTAGATAGATTGTATGTAGGCCGGACAGCTAGTCAGTCAGCTAGTTAGATGTGTTGGGATGAAGAGAAGGAGGGAGTTGTTTTATTTTTGATTCGGGTACGGGAATGGGAAATGGTAGGTTCAGTTTTTAGGGGTTTTGGGGTTGTAGAGTTGTAGATAGATATGTGGTTTTGATAGTCTTCTTGAAACCTCTGTTCTATCAATGAAATGGAATGGAATGGGGAACTGTATGAGAGTTTCAAGTTCGAGTGGGTGCACTCGATGATTGACTGCTCAGTTGTTAGAAAAATTTATTAGTTAAATTCGCTTTATTTTGTCTCCGTGTATAAGATTCGGAATGTCTATGATTATCTAGATGGACAATTTTCTGGAATTGTCGAAGGTCTTGAATATGTTGGTGCATGGAAGGGAGATGGAAATCAGGGGCCTTTTTCTAGTAATTTGAAAATTAGTCGGAGGTTTGGTTGTGTACCTTTTTGAAAGTTTTAGTCTTTGAGCTTTAAAACGCGCTTTTGTATGCAAAGTTTCCTGAGCGGATGATTCACGATCCTGGCAGTGATTGTTATGTTTGAGGTTGTGCATTTGAAATAGGCAAGATTTGAGATAGATACCTCTACTGTCTAAGTCTAGATATACTGGTATTAGTAGTCATGAAGTTTCTCACACTACTGTGCCAATGTTTATACCAGGTCATACTCAAAGACGCCTCAATCAGTCACCTGTCAACTCCTGAATTTGAAACCTTGCGTCATAGGAAGACTTGAGAAAGCTATTGTGTCTTATAGCTGAGATCAAGGATCTTTTTGGGAACTCCAATACAATTCCGTGGCCTCTTTGTTCCAACTGGATAAGCATTGGTGTTATTGCCATTTATGAGTCTCAGAATGTGCGGTTGCAGGGAGTCTTCTTGAGGCGACTAGAATTCGATAAAGAACTTACTTGATGGGTGCACCCACAGGGAGAAGCTAAGCTGGTCTCGATGTGTCAGATTTCTTATCAGAATTAGTTTTTTGGACAAGCTTTGTGTCTAGAAGACACGAGATTTGTCAAGTTTTGGTTGTATACTAGATCGAGCTCTAGTTCTGGGAGTAGAGTGAAGATACGAGGGGCTTCGTGTAAGGAAAACATGGATCAACCATATTAGGCACTAATTCCAGATATTGTTTCTTTCTTCATCTCACCATATCAGTCTCTTTGTTTCTCAGGGGACATCCCCCTCGGGTATATATTACAATACCATTCATTCATTCCAACTCTCATTCTTCACAAACTTCAATTACATCGACCTTTCATACCCTCGAACCATCACCACATCCAATCTCAGCAGACTATGAGAGGATTTCGAGCCACATGGCGCGCAAGCCAAGCCTCTCCTTCGGTAGAAGCGACAGTTACCGAGCCTGAACACCATTGTACATGCACGAAAGTGACCGTTCAACAGCAACCTTCCGGAATATATATCGGTGTATTCCCAGCACTGGCTGTATCTTTTGTGTTATGCATAGGCTTGATATTCTCATGGCCATCGGTAGAAAACAAAAAAGCTTGTGCTGGATGGTTTTGCAACTTTCGGAGGGGATGAGGTTGCGTTAGGTAAACTTGGCGTTTAAATTTTAATGTTTCTGCAAGTTTTTGAGTACATGATGATGTGATACTTCGAATCTACCGCATTGTGATATCATTCCCTTTCCATAGAATAGCTCTAGATTATATCAGATCTCTACTTGAGCATGTTTCAAAACATATCACTTATCAACTCCTGCACTTTCTCAAGCTCTCCTACTTTACAAAAGACCTTTGATAACACTTCGAAATCGTTCCACATATTTCTTCTCAAACACCACATCTATATACAAATAGTCTGAGTTTCCATATCTTATATTCACTTACAATGATTTTTTCCTCACACGAATCAAATCAAGACACAAAATTTACACACAACTTTACAACTCAAATCGTAAGTATGCAGCCTCGCAATACAATCCCTGAAATCATGGCTTCTGGTTCTGAAATCAAATCTACAAACATGAAATCATCTCTTACAAACGAAGTACGATCACACCGCCGAAATCCCGCTTTCAATAGTGCGCGCCTAGGAATAGCATATTGTGGTCATTACTCGCCCGAGCAAAGATGTCGCCTACCTCTACCACCCATGACACAGCAAGAGCCCACTAGTACCGAAAGTGCACTGTCAGAATCTTCGAACCTTACAACCCCCTCACCCATCAACGAAGTTCGATCCACAAAACATACATCTCATTATCTCTCCCCTCCAACTCCGCCGCGTAACCAAGACAACAAAATTCCATCCCTCATCCGCCGTATCTTCGAAGTAAACAACCGCGATACCAATTTCCTGACTCTCTGGAAACCACATCTCGATGATCTGACCTCGACTACCTGTATGAGAAATCGGGTTGCGTTGGAAATGGTGGCAGGGTTGCAAAATTTGCGGAACCGAGAAGTCAAGTCAGGCATTTATAAATTTGCCTTGGGCATGTTTTGGGGGCATCTTTCTTCGTATGTGTTTAGAGTCTAGTCTCTCCTGGGATTGGTTTGGCTGTTCTGGTGGTTTATGCGTCTATTTCTTGGAAAGCTTGGCGTGGGATTTGGGTTGAAGAGAGTTTTCTCAAAGTGTACGTTTAGTGATGTGGTTGGGTACGGGTAACACGTTGGCAATTTTTTTGAATAACGATTAGGGTTGGGTCGTGCAAAAATGAGTACGAAACTCGCCTTTTACAAGCGCTGGATGAGTTTGATCACGAGACTTGACACGAATTTGAATGGCAGGATAATTTCTGGGTCGGTTTGGCATGGTACACTTGTGACTATGGTAGTATTGGGAGTTGAGTTATGATTAGCTACGCAAATCAACAGAGCTAGCTTGGTAGATGTACGAGTTCTCTGTTACTTTTCATCTTCTTCTTGAAATCTCAGAGTGTGTATGGTAGGTTATGCTAGCAAGTTCCATAAGCATGTATGTTTTCATATGTAAAGCACAATAGTCTACAATTCATGAAGCTCTATTAATTTCCAGAATATGTTGATGTTATACATGTATACATATCACATACAGTTTCTCGTATAAAAGTAATTCTAAATCATATTCACACCTAGGACTTCGATCTTAATATCGAGAGCACAAACTTCATTCTCGACCAAGCAATCTACATCTTTCTCATGACACGTCTACTTAGCCAGTCAAATCATGGGTTCCGTCTTTTCATCTATATTCGGATCGAGCTATTTTCAATCCCAGGATACTCATACCACTAGTGAAAACTCTTCTTGCAATTCAAGTTCAGTTCGAACTTCCTTTTCTTCAATATGGTCTTCAGAATCGGAATTCGATAGAGCTGAAGCTGCTGGTTCTCCCTCGAGTGGCATGATTGGTAGAAGTAAATGTTAACACTACGCCGAAATATCACTTCATCATTGAAACCCTTTGAATCAATTGGAAACAGAGAAGGGTGGAAATGGAGACTAGAAAGAGTACTTGGGTTGAGTTGCGGAGATTAGGTAGTTCGGAATTGATCTGGCAATAGGAGTTCGCTGGGATGAATGTATTTGATGAAAACAGAACGGACAATTCGACTTTGCTTGGAGTCATTACGAAGAATAGGTAATGCGAGACATCTATTGCTATTGAATTACAACTTGTCTTTCATTTACGTATGCTTCCATCCACGTCTTTCCATTGTGAATATTGAATGATCACCTTGATACTTATGAGATAGGCTCCGAATGATCATTTTGTCAGGGGAAACGACGAGACGCGAGAAGATTATCGAAGTGAAGTTTCCATAGATCATTCTAGCAATCGAATTTTTGGAATCATTCAGATCACACCAAGAAACTCACTAGAAATTCCTTGGCTTCTAGTCTCTATATCTTTGAAGCATAAAAGGAAATTACCCCGTACTGATATCTTCTCTCTCATAGTACTCAAAAAGTCCACATCACAACACTACACTTCCTCAAACTTCTCATCCCAAAGCAACTCTCAACAATCCATAATGGGATCCTACTTCTCGACTCCACACACCGAAGACAGTGATTCCCCCATATCTCAAACCGCCAACTATTCTAACTATCAATCATCATGGTTCACGCACCCTTCCACAGGTGACTCTTAGACCGCCGGATTCATAAGCCCGAATAACACCACCAGTCGTCCGCGAAGCAATCCTTACTCTAGTAAATATCTTGATCCAAGCTGGGTTACTCCAATTGTTCGGAGTGATAATTCTCGCAGATTCACATAGATTTTGGGTGCAGATGAGGTGTGTGTTGTTGAAGCTTGCTATGTAGAGACTCGTATAGCTTGATATCGGGTTCTGGTATCAGAAATTTTCGATTATGTCTCCACTGAATACTATCCCTTTGATGAGATCTCGTAATTCGGGGAATACAGATTGGATGATAACTGCTACAGTCAGAGAGGAGAGGTTATAGTGATCGTGATAATAGTGCATTGCAACGAGCATTCAGACCAGGAGAAAAAAATGCAGAATAAGATCAAAACATTAGTGGCAACGTAGCCAAAATCGAATCCAATGAATCCTGCCATCAAAATAACCCAGTGAATATTTTTCCTCCGCAACTGCCAATTAACTCACGAGAATAGCCGTACAAACGTGAAACAATCCAATCTCATGCCAATTTGTATAATAGAAACGCGTTGTTTTACTCCCCCTGATGTATATGAGAAACTTCCTTTTGCAGACCAAATCGTCGTTCATATCTACCAGAATATCAGGTTACATTTATAGACATCATTCCCGATGTCGTTGGAATCCTCACCATATAAAACATAAGCAATATCATGCAGTACTCGTGCAGCTAGAAAGTATGCAACTCCTGCTTCAAAAAGATTAAGCTGCTATAGGGAAACTCCCTAGTGCTTGAAAGAAGCATAAATCATTGGAATTTTTACTAAAAGTAGTAGGGCTTCAATATAAGCAAGCCATTCAATTGATTCATTTTCCAAAATCTCCATTTAATATAGTGGAATTGAAAGAAGCAGTGAATTCTATTGGTTTATTAAAGTCGATATAGTGTATTGTAGCGCTGGAGTTGTATACTTTCTGGTAGCACAAGTAAGTTTACAATTCCCTGAGATCGATCATCAGAGCAAGCGTATAAGCCAGTTAGCATACTGCCACCACCCATTTCCCACATCGATTTTGTCATAATCACTATACCAATTGCTAATAAAACTATAGTCAATTAACCTTCAGAACACAATTTACTTATAAACATACTTTCCGCCATTATCGTATACAATATTGAGGACTCGCAACATCTTTTTCTAGGTACCTACCTATCTCTAATAAACTAACCAAATCTCCAAAAAGTGGACACTCGCCCCTCCTCGCTTAAATCTCTTCCAGAAAACTTTTCTCGCTAAACAACATTATTTTATAGTCCCATCCCCAACCGTCACCTCCATCAAATACAACCAATAATCCGGCATGGTGTAGTGGCTAGCATTTCCGCCTCTCATTGGAAGCTTGACACCTTCAATCAGGTCGCGGGAGACCGGGGTTCAATTCCCCGTACCGGAACTAACTTTTGCTGGTTTGGGGTGGTGGGATGGTGGTGTGCGGTATATGATATCTTTTTTGATAATTTGGGAAAGGGGAGGGGAATGAATGCTTTTAGTTTGGGTGACTGGATGCAGTCAGGTGAAGTGGTTTTGATAGGGACTGTATGAGATGAGTAACTACTTTGCGTAGTGTATGGGGATGATTTCTCCACCCGCCTGAGCGAGAGAACAGATGGCCATTTACATTTCTACCATTTCTCAAATACATTATATGACATACAAATATATAGCATAGATACAAAACTCTGCCCTAGAGATCAAAAGTAGACGTACACATTTTCTCTTGATACCCTGCCAAACTCTCATGGCTCATCCTTCCCACCCACCGACCAAGATTCCATACACGTGAAACATCACATCGAATCAATTAGCTCTCTGCTCATCCATAAAAGAATCTTTCACACTATTCTCCTCATCGTCTTTCCAACAAGACTTACTTAGCATTATTGTATCAAGTCAAATACACACATACGACCAAGCTCATGAAAACTCTATATCTCACACACACACACATACAAGCCCACCCACCACCACAATAATCTACAGCCTAACCCCCTACCCAAAGATATCCGTCGCACATCTATCCACCAAGCCATTTCTAAACCTCTCCTCCAACTCCTCTTTCCCCCCCTCAATCGTCACTCCCTTCTCTCTCAACCTCTCCCTCATAATTTCCCTCGCTACTTTCCCTACCTCCTTAACAAAAGCTCCTCCACCACAAACATACACTCTCGCGCCCTCATCCCACAACCTCAAAATATCCTTCTTATCCTTATCCGCCAACATCCTCTGTTGCACATACTTGTATCCCTGACCCATTCTCATCGTCTCCCTTTCACTTGGCGGAGACTCTGAATCGCGCGAAAAAGAATATCGGATATCGACTACACCGAGGTCTTTCCATCTGTCGAGTTCCCGCGCATATAGACGATCGGATGTCGAAGATCTACATCCGACGAATAGAATCGCGGGGGCAAGTTTGCGGTCCGGTGATGCAGCGGCTTGCATGGCGCGCTGTTGGATGAAGCCTCTGAAGGGGGCGATTCCGGTACCAGCGCAAAACATGAGGAGAGGAGTCCGTTCGATGGCTAAGTGGAGACGAAAGAGTTTCTTGCTACTGGGTCGGACGGAGACTTTGATAGGGTCTCCGGGGAGAAGGGAAGAGAGATAGGTTCCACAGATACCGGCGTAGTGGCCCGGGCCGGAGAAGGAGGGTATGGAGAGAACGTTGTAGGTTATTGTGCATGTGTTCGGGGAATGGAGAGGAGAGGAGGAGATGGAGTAGTAGCGGACTCGTAGGGGAGAGAGAGAAGAAAGAAAATCGCGGAAATTGAGCTTCGCTGATGGGTGTGCTTCTAGGAGGTCAATAATACTTAGACGTTTGGTGAGAACTTGTTGTTCGTAGATGTCTGAATCCGTAGATATGGTTGCGAGGTATTGTTTCAAATTTTGGTCAGTAGTGGAATTGGCCATTGTTTGAAGCATCTAAATTTAGTTCAGATAATGTATGAGAAGGTGGAGATGTTTGTATAGAGTACACACCTTTTTACTAACAAGTTCGAACAGCTCTACATACCCCGCCAATGTATCTCTAATCGAAAGCGGAGTATCAAGTGGCAAAGTACCCAAACTTTGACCTTTGATAACAATAGTCGAATCCCAAGCTAGTCCAAATACTTTCATAACCCTTCTAACATTCTGATTAGAATTGACCGGAAGAACAGCAAGATAATCTCCACTTTCATATGTCATATCGGGGGGAAGTTCAATTTCTAGATGACGTTTCTCAGGTATTCCTGGTGCTGTTGATACTTGAGCTTCAACTACAACACCATCTTGGACATCTTGTCGAAAACTTGTAACACCTGGTTGAGTAGAAATTTCAAGATGCATTCCTGTTTCCAAGACTGCGTCTTGAGATTTCGAACCACGGCTGAGTTTTGGCCAAAAAGTTTTATTTAACCAGTCATCGAAATCACCAGATAGATCTCCTTTGGCCGCATCTGAGAGACCTCTCGGTACAAGTCTTAAACTTCCGAATTCGGCCATGCGATTATCAACTATTGTTGGTATTTTTTGAAATGTAGCTCTCCAATCACCTGATACCCATTAGATCCAGACACACAACTTTGGAATAATTTGACTTACTATGACCACAACCAAAGGCAGCAAATTGCGTTCCTGAGAGTGCAGTTGGCTCTCATTTTTCTAACCAACTGACGAATCTAGCTGCATTGTCTGGTGGATGGCCCTCATATGAAGCTGTAATGATAACAATATGTTGAGATTTAGGTAATGCTCCAACTACACTATTCAATTCCAAAACTATGGCTTCAAAGCCATTTCCAGCAGCTGTCGAAGCCATTCTTTGTGCGAAAGCAAGACAACTTCCTGTGTTTGATCCATAAAGTATCGTCATGGGCTTAGAATGTAACTTTAGGCGCGAGATATTTGGTAGTTCTGAAGAAGGCACCGTGGACTTTTCTGGTGACTTAATACTTGACGATATTGAAATCCTAGAAGATGTTCAAGATCCATTGCTGTCATACCATGACGCAGTGTAGCTCGTATTATAAGATCTTGTGGTTTGATAGTAAGTGTTTGCTTGATGCGTAATTTATATCCCGGATCATGAAGACGAAAATCAAAGTTTTGTAGAAGCATAGCTGCAACCATCAATGCCTCTTACCATGCAAATGCACGTCCAATACATGCTCTGACTCCACTTCCAAATGGCTATTGATTATGTTAGCTTGGCCAGATGAGATTAATATGTACACTTACTTTCCAAGCCGCACTTGGTAAGTTCTTGAAATTATCTCCCATCATACGTTCTGGTTTAAATTCATTTGCATCAGATCCATAAACGTTAGGATCCTGTTGCACAGCCCCAAGTAGCACAATGATCTTGTCAGTGGGTTCGATTTTATATTTTCCGCGGGAAAAAGTCGCGCTTTCTCCACTAACACCCTTGACAAGCCGTTTTGACACAACTGGAGCAGTTGGCGTGAGTCGTAACGATTCTCTGAGTACGCCACTTAAGTATTCGAACTTATTGAGATGCTCCACACGAACAGGTCCTCTACCGACCACTTGGTCTACTTTGCGCTGAGTTGCATTATATGCATCTAGATTTTTCAACAAATTAAGGAAAGCAAATGAGAGCAGCTTAGACGTGGTTTCATGACCTTGTTATTAAGTTAGCTATGAGTAGCGAAGAGTTTTAACATGTAACATACCAGTGATCAAAAACGTGATCATGTTAGCTATGATTAAATCATCTCTCATTTCATCCTTATTCTTAGGATCTTTTCCACTAAGCATCGCATTCAAAAGATCCTTTTTTTCTGTAGGGTTTTGTTTTCGATGTTGCACCAAGCCTTGAGAAATCTCAAACATATAGTCTAGATCTTTTTGGAATTTGGCGTTCTTCTTCCGCATCAAACTGGTAACAAACCCTGGTCGTCTAACTCTATCCCCGGATTCGGAGAGAAATCCCACCATTGCATCAACAAATGGATGCATCTTATCTGTATAGAAAGAATTGAACCTGAAATCCATTGCACAAAGCGCAATTGTATCTAGAGTTAGTCTGGTAAAATCATCCGTCATTGTTATAGGCTCTGATGGACCTAATCTAGCCCATTTCAAGAGTAATTGATTTCCGATGTCTTGCATTTCTTTTCTATTGTCAGAAATCGTGTACCTTTGAATGATAGAATCTTGAAAAACTTACGATCATACATCTGTTCGATAGCCAATGGTCCAAAAGCAGGTACAAGAATTCTATGTGCTTGACCCCAATCCGGATCATCATTCGTCGCTGTAAACATACCAGATGGTCGATCATCCTTTTTTGAAAGTGCCATTGGTGGTGCCTTTTCGAATCGACTTTCATCACAAAGTTCTTCCATCATCTCCACGGAACTAACGACGATTACTCTAGCACTTCCTCTGGTCAATTTGTATATGGGGCCATATTCGACGGCCATATGTTCGAGTGCTCTAAGTGGAGCTTCTTCATCCTTAAGATCCAACAAATTTCCCACGAGGGGTTTGGCTTTTGGCCCAGGAATTGCTGTTGTCATTTTGCACTGTCTACAAGAAACGATTGCGAAAAAAAAAATACCAAGAAACGAAGACTTACCATTTCTCGGGATTTATACTTATATAGTTTTATATCAAAGGGAAATCAGCATTGTTCAGCCGTAAGTAAGCCCACTAGGCATTCTGCTCGCAACTCTTCCCAAAACGACGAATTATTGAGGTCTCACGCAAAAAATCATCACGAGTAACTGTTCGCGGATGGGTTGTCGCCATGAATATCAATTGATGTGGGAATTGCCTCTTTGGGCATCCAGTGCGAGTGGGACAATCCTCTGAAATCTTTGAACAGTGATTGGCCTTTTGTAATCCCGAATTGTGGGTGTGGCTGAGCTCATGTATTCGATGTGCATTCTTCGCAATGTAAGTCCGCGACATATCATTGCCGGTAGGTATCAGACCATTGTTGAACTGATATTTTGAAGTTGTATAAATCATTTAGGCAAATCCAACTCACTTGGGTTCGACTTGTTCAAAGAAGAATATGCTGGTGCATTATATGAGAGAATATAATATGGCTGTGCAGCACACCCTTCAAGAGTCCTAGCGATAGACAGATGGACATGTGGCACCAGGGAATCCAAGTTCTGAACCAGCCTCATAAGTGTATCTGGAAATATCATGATCGTCAACGATATGATTACCAAAAGTAGGTATATTGGCTGATCTGATGTTGATGTTGAACTCGAGAGTCGAGACGAAGATAGATAGACAACTGCATTCAGCCACATGCTAGCTGCATGGTTAGAAGCTACCCTGGTGCTTATCCTTGTACTAAACTAAGGTTGCAGTTGAACGTCAAGATTGCCAATACTGGAACAGCATCAAGTAGGTACTCGGTACGAACCTAGTAGATCTCAAAGGGTTCTAAATATATAAATCTCCCTCACCTCTGATAAGGAGAAGTGAAGAGGGTAGCATCACGTGATTTGTATTTACCTTCTCGCACCGAGTACGATGCGCCAATACGACACGATGATGAAAAGTCCACAGAAAAACGTCACTCGCAAGGCTGAGCTTTGTGTTTCCGCAGTGCCGACATATCTTGGCGGGGGGTTCGATTAACAACGGAGAAGACAATCAAAAAGTTTTCACTCTCCAGAAGAATTTATATAAAGCAATGTAAAAACTATTCTACGAGGGTCTATCCAAAGACCTCAAAATCAATAATATAATTCACCTGTCAGAATGTCATCTCCAACACGTCGATCACCAGCATTATCACAATCTCCTTCACCAAGTCTCCACTCTCCAATACTTCCTGAAGCTCCCAAGGAAAGCGCGGTAGTGAGGGTAAGCTATCTTCATCTGATCCCAATATCTGCCATGCAAAATTCTAATCGAATACACAGCTTATCATCGCCCCTATTACCTTCATTTCATTCCTCATCTCTCTCTTGATCATCGATAGCCGTAATAGTTATCTTCGCATTCACCAACACTCGGAACCCCGGACGTATCCCAATACTTTCATCGGGCGCATTCAAGAATTTCTTCACAAATTAATCTTCAAACCACAACCATATGCGTATATCAAATCACCATCTCGAGGACAAAAGGCGGAGGGGATCAAGAGAAAGGAAGAGGAGCCATGGCATTGGAATACTAAACAAAAGAAGATGATGAAGATGGAGGTTTCGGATGCTTTTAAGTTTAGACAATGGGTATTAATTGGAATGGCGGTTGTCGCAATGGGAGTCGGGTTGCTGGTTTTGTATCTTGCGAATTGGATATGGCAGGTTTGGTATTGAGATATTGTGGATAGCTATCCGACATTTTGAAAAAGAAGGACATATTGGATATAGGACGGAGGAGATATGTTGTGCTGGGATGAGTTTGAATACCAAAACGGAAATAATATCTAGGTACACCAGGCCCAGGTATTCTGGATACTATGTGTCAAAGAAGAGCACGACATGATGATAATCATATTGAAAAGCTCCTAGCAGCTGAGCATATGAGGAATCTCATCGTTATCGTCACCAAAGCAATCCAATAGCTCTGATGTTAGACATACTCAATCAATCATCCAAGTACTCAGGTCAATGTCTACTACTAATCTTGCATCCAATCGTTCAATCATGACACAATACAATAAATAATACTTGGGCCGTACACTCTCGAGACACTTTACTGTAATGCATGGATTATCGGATGAAACCAAGAAGAAGTTCCGCTTCAAGTATACTGGGTAGGTGGTTATGTAAGCTCAGAACTTTCAATATACGAGTTACCTACCTGGTGTGTGAAGTGAAGTTTGGAAATCAAAAGCAAATAGAGAGAGGAAAGAAAAGAAAAGAAGTTTATAATAATAATAAGCTATAGGTGAGTGAGAGAACAAACAGGTAGGTAGTGAATCTTTAAAGCTGAATTCCAATTTACAAACACAAACTTCTTCACTTCTTCCTTTCTTCAAGAAGACAGTCAATATCAAGCTTCTTTTTCTCTTCCTAAGAACCTTCATCTCTTATCGGCAAAGCTCCATCCACGATAACCTTATCGCCCGCCGCCCACGAGATTTTCAATTTTTCTTCCCAAGAGCTTCAACCTTCCAACTTTCAACGCGTTTTGGCGCGATTTCTTTTCTGGACTGTTAAGTGCTCCACTATTGAAAAAGCAAAGGCAATTAGCTTTCATAGTGCACCCAACCAATTGCACTTCTTCAATCTTCTCAATGCCGTTGATTTGTGGCCTTGTCTCTCTTGTTTGCACATCAGCACACTTCTGCTGTTTCGCATAAGCTTAACTTCTTGAAGGGATCAAAAATATTCATCATGAATTCCTTAATTGACCCCCCCGCCTCTCCGGGCTTTTCACTGCGAGTGAAAGTCTTTACACCAGATGCTGCAGAGGAAAATGATCGTCCAATCCGTTGCTTTCGAGTTATTACATCACCAAATATTACCATCAGAGAGTTTTGCACAGAAGCCTCAAGAGTTCACGAAATCAATTATGGCCAGTAAGTAGTGTTTGCGCTTCTACGAATATGATGTTGGGTTGCAAGGTTGACATTAATACTTACTGACTGCTTCTTCCTCTAGACCACTTGCGATCAAGAAGTGTATGGACGATGAATTATTTGACGTCACTCAGAACGATCTGATAGGACCTCTATTTACCAATATGTCTACTATTCGAATCATAAAAGCTCCCAATAAACCAAATGTCCGAGACTCACTTCCTCCAACGTCAGCGCTTCGATTCAACCCAATGAGTGTTCTTGGCCAGAAAAGAGATAGGTCACCGATAAATGGAACCGCCGAATCATTCTGGAATCCACAAAAACGTCAGAGAACGGCCATAGATCCTGATAAACCAATTCCTTCTCGAGAAGTCGAGTCATATACCGGCGGAAGGTTGGAAGGTATCCCAGAGAACCCAGAAGCCACAATTCCAGATTCGCAACAGAGTGCTATATTAGGTCATGAGGATGAGGACAATGATGTTGTGCCAAATGTAAGAGAGGATTCTCCCATGATCTCCGACACCCCACCCCCATCATCTCTATCGCCAGTGAAGAGACGTCTTGTCCGCCAAAGTCATGCCATAACTAATTATATCACAAAGTTTTCAACCAAGAATACCAATGCGCAACCCAACAGCGATCCAAAAGAACTTGTTAGTCCGTTTAAAGAGCCCCCGCCACGGAAGCAGGGCACACCAAAGGACATCACAGGAGCAAAAAGTGCAAGCTATCACATTCAAAGAGCTACCGATAGAGGTCGATCCGTTTCAACGACTGCGACAAGTCCAATGGCAAATGAACCACAACTTCCTTCCCATCCTCACTCAAGTTCTTCTAAGAAGCCAAAGACCTCGGAAACAAGTCTGCCGGCTGCGAAATCAAACAATTTGAAGAATCGATCATCTAGGAATGAGGGGAATATTTACGACGACTTCGGTTCGGATTCTGAGGAAATAAAGGTTCCACAATCAAAACTTAAACTCAAAAAGTCTTCATCAGCAGGGCTACCTGGCCTTGAGAGGCTAGCCAACTCACCCTCAAACCAGAATCGCCATCTTTCCAAGACCTCTGAATCTGCTTCAGCTACTCATGAGCTACCCTTGACGCCAAAGAGTAGAATACGCGAGGAGGAATTGCGCAAGAAGAAAGAAAGTGAGGAGGCCGCAAAGGAGGCGCGGAATGCGGCTGCAAAAGCTGCCGAGGAACGCAGACGTGAATCCGAAAGAGAAGCCGTGGCTGCAAAAGCCGAGCGAATGCGTAAAGAGAAATCAGAGGAACGTAAGGCAGAAGAGAAGCAGAAGCAAGCTACAAGAAAACAAAAAGAAGACGCTGCTCTTCTAGCTCAAAAACTGAAGGATGAGAAAGAGAAATTGCGCAAACAGATCGAAGAGGATGACAGAATAGAGAGGCAGAATGCCGAAGAGGAGGCAACGAAGAAAGCCGAAGAAGAGTCTAGAAAGTCAGAAGCTCTTGAAGGCTTCAGAAGAGCATCCGGAACTCCACAAGGAAGCCGGAAAGGTACCCCGGTCAATAAACGCAGTACTCCCAGCGCGATACTTCCTCGCCAGTCTTCTACGCCTCATTATCCAAGAGGAAAGAAGTCATCATTGAAAACTTCACGTTCTTCTGAAAGCGTATTGAGCTCTTCACCTGGAGCCCCAGCTCCTAAAGATACCAGTCTAGAGGCTCAGATGCCATTACCATCTAAGGGTCCTAGACGAGTCTCCTTTGACCTTGACAAGACGAATACTCCTATAAAGCCACAACTCCAGAAGACAGCTTTCGTTGACACACCAAAAGAGAAAACAACACCCACACTTACTTCTAGTCAGATTGCAGCCCCAAATCAAACGCCTATTCCTGTACCCAAAACATTTAAGCGCCCTGATCGTAGTGCAACTCCAGTCAGACAGCTGTCACTAAAACCATCTGCTATGAGTCAACCACCATTGATAGCGGGTCGAGCAAGTTCGGTGGCACGATCTGGAACACCTAACCCTAACCCTCAACCGGCATCTAAGAGTATTCCTACCGAGAAAAAACCCTTGGAGAAGAAAACTATCACCCCGGAACCAAAAAAAGCAGCGACATCTACACCCGGCCGTCCAATCCCGATCAAAGGTATGTTAATATCACGCTGAAAGTCATTCAAAAAGCCTCATGGCGTTTATTGCTCTGTCAAACAAGAACAAAAATGAATCGTTGATTACTGAGTACAAGCTAATATCATCCTAGAGAAACCAAAGTCGCCACCTAAGCCCGCTGAAATACCACTCCCTCCAAGTTCAGACAGTTCCAGTTCTGAAGATTCCGATCTTGAAGAAGAGGTTACAATAAAGGAAGAACCAAAAAGATCCATTAGTCCTCCAAATCGACAAATTGAGGAATCAAACAATCCCAACGACCAATCTGATGAGGATGTCGAAATGGGTGAAAATCAGTCATCGCCACGTGATAGTAGATCTCCAGTTGTCTTTCATTCTAATGCACCATCTGGTGATGAGCGGAAATCCTTCAACAAGCACACTCAGAACTCGGCTTCTTCTTCATCAGAAGACGAATCGTCTGACGAAGAAGAATCGGGAGACAATACCTCCGACAAGGAAAATGACACTAAGGTTAAAACAGAAATCAAAGAGACCCAAGACAGTTCAGAAGACGAAGGTGATGGCGGTAGTGATGATGAGGATGTGAAGATGCCAGATGCTCCAGCTCAACGGTTAAGCCCGGAATTGCCAAGCCATGCCCGGAGAACTATGGTCTCTCCTATTAAGACCACAAATCAACGTAAGAACTCCAGCAGCGATGAGGATAATACCCAAGACGAAGTTGATCAACAACTAACATCTGATATCTTCGAAGCTCAAGGTCCATCATTTTCTTCACCCCTCAAGCGACCGATTATTAGACCAACGATTGGTTTCGGCGCAAGTTTATCATCTCTGAATAGTCAGAAAGGAGCCATGTTCAAACCCAAACCCCTGTCAAATGGCCAACCCGCCAAATCAAAATTACAACTTTCATCTCAATTATTGAACAAGGAATTCTCGGAGTCGGAAGAAGATGAGAGTAGCAGTGATGATAGTTCTGACGATGATGATGTTCCAGTTCCAGCAAGCTCAAAAATCCCCTCTTTAACTCAAAGTAATGGTTTGGTTGCCTCAGCAGCCATTGCCGCCGCTGCAGCTAAGAGAATTAAAAATGCTGGTAGTGATTCAGATTCAGATTCTGACAACAGTTCGGATGATGCAATGGAACAAGCGAGAAAATCTTTGATGGCGCAGGTTAACCAATATGGAATGAGTGCTAGTCAAAATACTTTGCTGCAGGGATCACAAATCTCGGTTAATGGTGGGGCACAAAAGGACAATGGAAAAGGGGGTGCAGTGCTTGGCAAAACGAATGGAAATGCAAAGAATTCGAGAAGTGCAGGGAAAGAATTCGCTAAAAAAGGGAAGGACAGGATTACGAACGGGTATGACTTTAAGAGTTATGGATCTTTCAATTGAAAAGTTGGTGGCGGAAGTCGATTAAATATGGGAGGATAAGGGTGTGAGCGCATCAAGGGGACATACGACATCAAGCGCTATTTGTGCATAATTGTGGGGTGAGCTAAGCGGAAGGAGGAGCGCACACTTTTGCTCACGATTATAAAGATTGTGTTTGCAGAGATGATATCCGGTTGATTTGTTTCTTCTCTCATGAGGTATTTGCATAATGGTATGGTGTGTAGGTGTTTGAATTCATTTCAAGAAAGAAAAAAGGGAAATTTTTCTTTATTGGTACAATTTTCGCATATGTCTGTGTTTATCGCTTTGATGCGGGTGGATGGATATATGGGTGGTGTGTTTGGGTATGTGTCTTTTGTTTATAGACGGATGGCGGAAGGGGAAGAGTGCGGCAGAAAGAAAGGCAAAGGGAGGAGGGGTGTGTATATGGGAGGATGGAGAGATAGTAAAGAGAGGATGTTAATATTATGATTTTTAATGATCTGGAGAGAAAGGTGATAAATGATTGGCAGTGGTGGTGCTGGAGGTGGATTGCATAGAAATGGGTAGATAGGTAGATAGGATTGACAAAATATGTAATTTGTAGGTATTTCAAACAGATATCATGATCCGATGACTGACTGCGTTTGGAGTTTTACGTTAATGTGATAAAATATGGTTGTTTTATTTGTGTTGTATACCTTCTGATGAAGAGTCTTGTGGTGGGGTTTTTGAAGTCTATAGATATCTGGGATGGAGATGGTTGTGGTAGAGGAGAGGAGAGGAGAGTTGGATTGGATTGGATTGGATTGGATTGGATTGAATCTGAGAGTTAGGGGTTCTGAGACTGCGATGACGGGTTTGGTGAAATTTGCTGAGATGGAATGTCCGGGATAATCGGGAGGGGTCTTCTCGTGATAAATCTGCATCTCCTTTCTCAATATCAATCATCAATCGCAAATGGAAGGGCTCCGGAATCGGAGTACAGTGGAAAGAGATAAGCGGATTTGAAAATTTGGGCTCGAGGCGAGAGTAGGGGGGGGAGGGAGTAAATTTGCATCAGCCGGCTTCATGGATTATGTTCTCGATTTTGGTTTTGAGAATCGGGAGGGTTTCAATGTGGGAATCGATGTTATTTTTTGAGAAGTTATTTTACTTGTCTTGTCGTATTGAGATGATAGGGGGATTGTTGGAAAATCTTAGAGTTGGAGGTGGAATGGGATAGGGTGTAATGAAATGATGAAGTGTTTGTGGTTGGTTATTTGTGATAGTATTGTGAAGTCGAAGTCGAGGCGGTGGCGATAAGTTTTTGATTTTGAGGTTATGAGGGTTTGAGGGGTTGGGTGGGGAAAGGGAAGGGGGGGTTTATTTCGAGTGAGAGTTTATTTGTATTGATTGCTGGGGCTTGGTGGGTGGAGTTGATGGGGAGTGAAATGAAGTGAAGTGAAGTGAAGTGGAGATAGTTGGGAATGTTGGAGGGGATGTTTGGGATTGGAGTTTGGAGTTTGGATATTACGCAGTTGAATACGTTAGCATTCACGTGATCATTCAAATAAATCTTCGGTTTGTATTTTCAGAATATCACTTTGATCTGCTGTGTCTTTTGGGCATACTATGCAATATCCGACTGAATTCATGAACATTGTAAATAAGCATTTTAAAATACAAATGGTTACATAGCCACATGTTAACAACTAATCACATTTGTTCATTAAGCGCGAAGGAGACAGCGATTGCGTTTAGGCCGGGAACTAGACCCAGCCAATCCGAACTTTGCATCTTGACTTGGTATCTATTTATTCACGATTTATCCGTGGGCGATTTTTTGATTGGCTTTGATTTTTCTAGATGTATGTTGTGGCCAATAGTCTAAGATCTCGAATGGTGTTATCAAATCTAGCGCACCAGGCGCTAGCAAGTTCGGCTCGGGGTAGGGTTACATCGCATGAATGTGCGAACCCCTCATATCTTGTGGCATCCCACTTGTTCGTCACCTTGCGCACTTGATCTTGATCTTCTTGATCCGCACTCTTCTTGTTTTCTGAATATAGGGGAGAAAATTATTGTGAGCATTTTTGAACGTGTTTGAGGAGAGTCGGAAAACGAGCTACTTTGATTAATTACGATGCCAGCTTCATTTCAAGAGTACATGCTATCTCCTCAGTCTCCTATCTGTTCCAGATAGTTTGAAGTCACATATTGATGTCTATACTAACAACCACTGACAGCATCCTCAATTCTCGCCTCTTCAAATTCACCGTAGGCGAAAAAGTCGATGGCCATGCAACGGAATTCTTCGTGCACGAAGAGGCTATTGTTCAGCTTTCAAGACCGTTGGAGGCACTGATGAGAGGAGGGATGTCGGAATCTCAAGCTGGATGTACGATATGGGATGATGTGAGTAAGGAGACCTTTGAGCGGTTCGTGCAATTTGCGTATACGGGTGATTACACGGTGCCTGTCCCTACGTATGAGGCGAAGAGACGACGAGACAGATCTGATAGTTTGGAAGAGTTTCTCCGGAAACTTTCTATAAAAGACATGAAGAAACTGAAGGAGAAAAGTTCGGGTGGGCAGGGAGTGATAGAACCCCTGATCGAACCACCATTACCGGGAGTGACACCGGAGCCAGCGGAACCGGCACTAGCACCTCCATTACCGTACCAACCACTAGGATCGGAATCATATTTGGTTTCTCGAATTTTCAAATACCCAGAGCTTACTTCGCATCTGAGAGAATCCGACTTCAACCAGCTCGTCTTCCCACTACTCGCCTTGCGTAACAATTACGACCTTACCTGTGAACCTAGGGAATGGCACAATCCGTGCCAAGGCTATTCCAATGTACTCATCAGCCATGCCGCACTATACATTCTGGGAGATTTCCGACTCATAGATTCACTAAAAGCCCTAGCTCTATACAAACTCCACAAAACACTATCTGTGTTCCAGCTCAGCACCGACAATCTCCAGGATGTGATCGATCTCGTAAGATATATATACGCAGAGGAAGGTGGAGAAGAGAGATCGGATGGCGAGATTGGAGCATTGAGAGGGTTGGTGTGTCTTTATATGGCTATAAATGCTTCGGCGCTATCACTGGATGATAGGGGTTTGGAGTTTTTGGGGGAAGGAGGACAGTTTGTCAAGGATTTCTTTAGGTTTGAGGTGCAGAGATGAGTTAGTAGGCTGGGGGGTTTATACTTGTGTTCGTTGGATTATCCATGATGATATAACGCTCTTTGATTGTTGTGTTTGGAAAGGAAGTGTATGTAAGAAATGACAAGTCGTCACGTAATTATGAGGACTTGCAAATACTCCTGCGCTAGATCTGGATATGAGAAGCTTAGAAGCTCAGGTATTTAATGTGCATCTATTACGAAATATAAATAGAAATTGTTTTTCATGCAAAACATTCATTTCTACTAGTTACGGAATTCCACCAACCGATAATGATTCACAAAGAAATCTCCACAGCTTTGACTGCATTACTCGAGATAGACTTCTCTCCATGATGAGAATCAACACCAGCCGTTTTCTTCTTACAAACCACAGCCTCAAGATCATCTCTCTGGCCACCGTTCTCATTACTTTCAACAGCATCAACTACATCCGCCTTTGCATAATCAATATCATGACCTCTAAAAAGCACCCAGAAACCCACAGCAGTAATAACCATAGTTCCCGCCAAACAAGCAAACATAATAACCAACCAAGGATTCCTCGACACCGGCCCCAAACCAATCCCAATCGCGGCACCCAGTGCCGCCGCCACCGCTTGAAAAGCTTGAACTAACGCTTTGAGATTCGTGGGTGCTTCGGTGTATGTGTATTCGCTTAGTGAGACTAGACAGAGTATTTCTCCGATCGCGAGAAGGAATTGCAAGGGTGTTTGCAGCCATACACTTACATTATTTGCTTGGACGTTGATATTCTGAGCGCTGTCTTGCGGGTTTCGTGCAGCCACGCATTCGAGGGGATAGTGGTAACATGGTCCGCGCGAATAGATGAGCTGTTGCAGACCGGCGGCATAGCCTATTCCCGCTGCTATGAAGGAGAATCCTATCGTCATTCGTAGGATGGGTCCGAGTGGGATTTTGCGTCGTTGAAAATAGGAGAGTGTGTATTGAATGAGAGGACCCATGATTATACATGCGATCGCGTTGAGTGACTGAATGGTATCGTTTGAAACCCCTGGGGATTGCATTTGTCCTGCTTGAGAGATGAGATTATTTGCAGTTTGATTATAGCAGAGCCAGAAAATCACAAAAGAGATGATGACGCGACAACTTTTCAGTCCGCGGCGGATTTCGTCGATGAAGGACGAGTTCCAGGTAACGCTGTGGTTGTAGTGTTGAATTTGATAATGCGGATCCGCCGCCGAGAGACGAAACTTTGAGCGCGTTGCGATCAGGAGCACCCGGCCTGCTTGGGGAAGAATGTTGCCTTGAGGTGGTAGTTTGACTAGGGATCTTTGAGCTACGTTGTTCTTTCACGCTAAGCTTTGCCCAATATTCAGACTCACCTAGTCGCTCATTCCATACGATGACAGGAATGATCGTCACTACCAAAACACATGTTGGTAGGAGAAATGCAGCCCAGAACCCGATATACTTCTCCATAAAAGTGGTAGGAATAGAAGAAAGCGCGGCAATATTAACCATCCTCAATCAAGATATTAATTAGAAAGCAATTAAGACTAGACAACAAGCATAGATTCTTTAACATACCAGTAATAACCACTGAAGATATATTGTATAGCCAATTTCCGATCGGTTACCACTAGTTTGCCCTTTGAGTTTCGCTTGATAGTTGGGTTAGTTTCAGGGATTTGGTCACCTGTTACATTGTTAGCATTGAAAGTCTGTTAAAAAAAAAATATCCACAGAAGTATTGATAGCAAACGCCCTTACCAATAAAAGGATACATTACTGCGGACAATCCCCCTTGCCCCAGGCCTGTCAAAATCATAGTAGCAATAAGGCCTCCCAGACCCGCCTTATGCTCTAGCGAACTTGGAAGAGCAGTCACAAATAACACTGTGTATCCGACAACCATAAGCCTATTCATCAACACTTTAGTTTTCGTCAAAAGGATAGAAGTTTTCCAAAACCTACCCAAGACTGAAAAGCATAGTCTTGTATCGACCGAGCCATGCATCTGATAGCAATGCAAACGGCATTGGAGTTAAGTACTGGAAGAACAAGAAGGCATTTTGGATTATTGTTGCTTTAGACTCTCCTAAGTCTAGGGCGCCAGGAAGTGCTTCATCACCAGGTGGATTTTGAAGGTAATTTTCTGCTGTTTGTTAGAAGATTAATCGTTATGAATATTCATTACTTACGCCATGCCACCGTAATTCCAAAGCGTGCAAGCTGTGCTGCAGCACCTGTGAATGCTAAGAGCCAAGCAGTGAAAGGTATTTTATCAGACTCATGATTGAGAGTTTCGATTTCTTCTTTGGTGGCATCTCTTGGGAGAGATTCTTGACCTTGTTCCTCCATGATCAGTGCTACGCTTCAATAATGAAACAAAAATAAATTTGGGACGGTATCTTGGAAGAGGTCATTTGAGGGGGGGGGGGAGCTGCGAAATCCCAGGTAGTTTGTCTTGAATGCTGTGCCGCCGAGGCAAATGATAGTCATGATTTTCTCATGTCACTGCTACTGTGTAACACATACAAATGGTATTATAGTACAGCTTGCGATCAGTCCGAGGTATAATATACGGAATAGCCGATAAGGGAAACCAATAAAGAGAGAAGCCATTAGAGACATCTGTAACTTCATATATCCAACTTAGACGTTTTTCAATTTTTGACCCTCATAGTAGATGGAAATTTGATTTAAAATAAGAATATTCATAAGAATATTATCATACAGCACGATAGTATATAACGAGTAGGAATATTAATCAGATAATATATAAATGATCAAATAGAGAACTACCCCTCTCTTGATACCTAGGCAAAGGAGATGTACATATATAGAATTGATTAGTCTCAAGCTCCGTGGTGAATCTCTACCTCGATACTTGAATCGATATTCGCAACTCGCTTTAAAGTAAAACGATTATATTAATAACGATTAGTAAGTAAAAAGAAATTCTACGAATTTGTAGTCTGAAATTTCGTTTCTTCTCCCAATGACTATTTTGATTGAAGTATAAGTAAAACATTACTATAAAATTTAGAGTTTTTCTAAACCATAATGATCTTTTAGCAGTCATAGTTTTCTGTTCCAAAATAATCTCTCAAGTTACGTTAGGTAGGTAAATCTCTATCCTTAACTTCCTGTTTAGTAAAGTACCAATCGTGGTTAGACGGCTCTATGATTACAGACATGCATGTCGACAAAACAAGTCGACGGAACATGACAACAGAGTGGACATGCGTTTGTACGAATGCCTGTATTTGCATATGTCTGTGTTTGTACGCATTTGAAAACAAAATCCAGAAATCCCGATAAAAAAATAAAAAAGGGGATTTCTCGCTGAGGTGAAGGTAATCTTCTTTCAAATTATCAGGAACAGTCAATAAGCATGGATCATTAATTAGCAACAAGCGTGGGTTAGCGGCAATTGGGAGGTACCTAGGTTCTTCATCAATGAATGATGGAATGGGTTGTATGAACGAATTTCTCAACGGCAATTGGTTGTTTCACGCCTAATTTTCACAGGAGACATTTGCACAGGAATATCATGTACCAGTATAAGATTGATTAGACCTACGCAACAAAGCTATATGGAAGAGTTGTGCACTTCGCGTGTAGAAGACAGCAATAAATTGCGGAGAAGACCAACTCATTCTCTCATCTAGACCCCCACCAATCAAACAGATCTACAAGCATATCTGCTTCTATTCGTCTACGAGAAAATCTCTCAAATGTTTCATGAACTTTTCTCGTTGATCAACGTGGCAAAAATGTGCCGCGTTATCCAAGACAATCCATTTAACCTTCTCGATGTGATCAAAAAATGGTTGCATTGCGATGTCCTGTGCCTCGTCTTCTGCTCCATTGATGAGAAGTGTCGGTGCTTTGATCTTGCTCAAATTTGGAATTGATGTCCAGTTACGAAGATTTCCTATGGGAACTAGCTCGCAAGGACCGTACCTTATATTGTGTCAGCAGATTGTCCAGAGGGGAAGATTGGCAGCCTTACATAGTGCTGTACGTCGTCGGATCTTTTGAAAACCAATTAAAGGCAGCCTGGACTTCAGGAGCTGGCCATGGTCTCGTGAGGCTCAAATGTCGCTTGTAGAAGACTTCCAAAGCAGCTTCATACTCTGGGCTCTCATAATCCTTACTGTCACCACCACGGTCCAAGACCTTCTGGATGTCCAATGGAAGTCGCTTTCTGAGTGAATCAAGGCCAATCTTCCATGCTTCCATACTAGCCAGGCTGCTTCCGATGACTAAGCGATGGAGGTTCTTCGATCTCGCTGGATCAGATGCCCATACAGCCGCGAGCATTCCACCCCATGAATGTCCGCAGACGTCAATGAATCGATCCTTTAATCCTAAATGACTGATAAGATTATCGAGCTCGTCTTGAAACAGTTTGACACTCCAGAATGCTTCATCGCCAGCTTTTTCTGGCAAATGAGTTGATAGTCCATTGCCAATCTGGTCATAGAAAACAAGAGGAATAGATGGCGCAAGATCTTCCAATGGAAGTAGATACTCGTGACAAGCTCCTGGCCCTCCATGTAATACGATCAGAGGTGTTTGAGACGTGGTGAGGTCGCCGACTACCTTGTACCAAGTCTGGCAAGGCTTTGAAATGCCTGGGACGATGAACTCTGCAAGACCCTCCGTCATGATTGTTTAGACAAGAAATAGTGGTAGTCTGTGGTGCTGAACTGGATTATTTTTTGAAAAGAACTTCTGGAGAATGGGGGTCTCTAAAATATCCAGTGTTAAGAATATTTGACTTCCGATACCTCGGCACAAAAAGAAGAAGAACATGGAGGTTAGAATGAAAAGTAGTAAAGCTGTCGTACAATTACAAAATCGCATGATTATATAACCACTTGAGACTAGTCAATTGATCAATTCACTTGTTGGTTATAAATTTCTGATTTCTTAAATTGTTATGATAATTTTAAAATTCCTCGAATGAGTAATAATCAAAATACTTATGAATAACCTTGATAAGTTAGTAGACTACTATAGTCTACTAAGCGAGAGGGCTAGCCTTAATGTTCAAGAATTACTTCCTTCTATATATAGCTAGCTCTTTAGACAGAATATAATATTAATTATTAGATCCTATTATTTTAGGTACTATATCATCTATACTCTTATCAAACAAATAATTATTAATATATAATCTATAACTAGTAGAATATAATAATACATATTTAAAATGTTCGATTTATTACGAAAATCTACGATCTATTCTGAAACGTTGAATTAAATTGCTGCTTGTCTTAGGACGCCAGCTATGCTATCATCGCCAGGGGATTGATAGGCAGAATCCAACCGTTGTCTAGGTCGTAAGAAACACTAGAATTTGACCGACAAATCAATGATTTATGTCCTCGTCCGTTGTTTTGTGGGTATGGAGATAAGATTGCAGGGGCCATTGCAACCAATAGGTTGAAATATATGCGTGTGTGATCTGAATGGGAAGTTTTTCTTGGAAAAAAATCAATATTTCAACAACCTTGGAAGTTGCGAAGCACTACAATTACACAGCATGAGGAGTAAGAAAACTGGCCACTGTGCTTAAGTCATCAACGTAAGCGCTCTGACCGCGTAGAAAGCCGTGCCAATGATCGATTAGCGGAACAGTTCACTCCATACAATATGCAGTCTAATATATTCCTATCATGCTGCATCAAACAACCCTAATGCAACCCAGTTGCACTGCCGGCGAGCTTGTGTTCATCAGATTTCTTGGAAGCGGGGAAAATTTCCGAGCGATCATAGCATGGTATACTGCAGAGTGAATAGCGTGGTAGGAACCCACTTGTAAAGCTAAGTACGTCGTGGCATTATACTATACTTCAACATCTACTTACAAGGGCTATATAGGAGTTGGAACAAACGGCTCGGTTCTGAGTAATCATCAAAGAAAATGGTACGATACATTTGTTTTGGATGAAAAAAGACAATTTCGTTTCATTGTGCATGCCGCCACAGGTTGATTTTCTCCTATTGGTTACCATTCCCTCGAGACTTGCAGGCTCGCAGGATCCCTTTTTTGATGTGACTTGCTTACAAAACACTACGCTCCCAAGGGATCCGTCTCAAACGGCCCCGGTCTAGTTTTGTATTTGTTTCTCGGAAGCAATCTCTCTCTTGACCATGCATTAATTGGTTCCCAGTTTACACACACTGTTTCTGATTCTGACCGAAGTTCTTTATTGGGCAAAGCATTATGATCTCCAATCCAGTATGCCGTGTAAAGGCTCACATCAGCTTTGCACATCAGGCTACGACGGATGGTATCGACACAATGAGCTGTTTTTACTATTAGCCGGTGCTCCAAAAATTTGAACATTCGAGAGAAAAGAACTCACTCATGTGTGAGATATTATAATCTTCCTCCTCGACTGTAGCGTTTGGGAAGTAATAGTCATGGAATATGTTCATGCGTAGCGCGTTCTACGAGGAAGTCAGTACCTCGAATTCTTGCAACAGTAAAAAAACATATAAGCTTTGATTATAGCTAAACTCACTAGACAATGCAGTTCGTGATGTACCGATAGAACTGAAACGTATTCCCCGTTTGTTAATCGTACAATATCTTGGCCGAAAGTTGCGTGGGCCATCTCTAATTCCTCCCTCGAAGTATGAATGTTGATAGCTACCAAGCCATTAGTAGTGTTCAAAGCCTGTTTGCACGAGAAATTTCTTTTACTTACGCTCTAGAAGATAGTCCCATGCTTCATCCACATCTTCGGGGGCTCCTGTGAATTTGGGGTCTTCACCAAAGTACAAAGGATGTCGTTCATATGAAAGGACTTCGTTGACTGGCGCTGTGTGATGTCAATTTGAGAACACATACTCGGGAACAATGCCAAACTAACAGTATGGTAGTAGCGGAATACTTCTATGACTCAAAATTATGAGTAAAGGGGCAGACACGACTATATACGTGGCACAGATGAAAGCCAAAATCAAGCGCCATGATTTTAAAAGGCTGAAGGGCTCTATAGCCTTTGTAGAAGCAACATCAAAGTTTCCATATGATGACTCATCAATTTCAAGTAGTCTTTCATGATCATCCAGATCTGTGAACTCTGGAGAGTGCTTTGATTCAAAAAAACTCATCTTAATTAGCATGAGGGTTCTTAGAAACTTTGAGTGGTAAAATTGATGAGGAGAAATCTATCTCCCTTTGCGGTTTCTATATCTTGTAAGATCACCCCCACATAACGGTTTCTACTTCCTACTATTGTACTAGAAGAAATATCTGCCCCGGATGTTGCTATGCGTCAGAAAATCCAAGCTCTGTGCTGTTCAAGAAATATGCAGCTGATCAGGATGGCCATGATTTGATAGTACAACTCTTAGCACGAAAGCAGCAAGTGCTGATCATTAAGAAATTGCTGCATTTTGCGCCTCTGTTCTGCAGGTAAAAATAAGCAAACCGGTTCTGAATGGTTCCGCAGCAGATTGAGTAAAGACACAGTGCATATCTGCAATATATTGAAAACCCGCTCACCTCTGGTCTGCATTCAAAGACCTGTATGAGTGTGGTATCTTCATCTGAATTGAGTCTGTGTTTCAAGACAACTGAACTCTCCTCGCCACCGAGTATCCTATCGTGGTTTTCTCATGCTCACCGCGCACCACTTATGGATAGCGACGAAATATGCCGCACCACTACATATTTGGCAGGCAACCATCTTCTTGAGGCAGATCTGGAAATCCAAAGCAAGCAGCTGATACGAATTTGTGGTTTGAAACTACGTCTGTCTGACTTTCAGGGTTCGACTCAATTATATCTACCTGGGTGAAATATATCCATGCCTCTACAAAGGTGAGGTTAGAATTGGCATTCGGTCTTCTAGATACACTGGCGGATTTTTTATCATATTTGCCAATGCAGAAGTGGCACACTCGGGTGGAACATCTACAATATTACAGACTCACCACGCTTTATGCATACTATTATGATCTCGCATGCAATCTTTACTCTATGGGGAATATTCCTGATCCTCAATGTCGAGATCTTCTGTGCTCACACCTTACTAGGGGAAACGCCAATAGTAAATACACTAGGATCAGAGTTTTCACACAACGACTTCAGAGTTATAAATACTTTTGATTTCTCCTCCTTCCTATACATCATTATCGTCCAAGTTTCGAAGAGCTGAGTTTGATACGAATCCTTGTATACTGCTATACGATTTCTTTGCCATTATAATCAACACAATTGGAACCATGAAGCTTCAAAAAATCCTCATTGCTACTCTTTCTTTAAGCGCAATGGCTGCGCCTTTAGGTTGGTTTTGAATGCTTCCATATCATACCACAATCTAATTCACTGTAGTCAACAAGGACTTCACCCGAAAACGTACCAGCCCCGTCCCACCTCTCATGGATGCGGGTATCGATGCTGATTTCGTCGAGAAGCGCACCAGCCCCAAACCACCTCTCGTCGATGCGGGTATCGATTTTGATTTCGTCGAATAAACTGCTAGTCTCGGAAGTTTTCTTTGCACGAGGAGATTGGATTTAAAAAGTTAAGAATTCTATCCTGAGTGGTAGAGATCTTTCTTGAAGAGTGTGTTGTGTTTTGAAATGTAGGGCGCGGAACCAAGTTCTGGATGAGTAGCGTACAAATTGATAAGCATTTTACACCGAAAGTCTTTAAATGAAGCCTCAACAATGCATGTGATTTTCTATAAAGTGACAGTTTGCTCTTTTACTAGTACTTCTCACTGAATTCAGGCATGAGAAGCGTAGCCAAAGACTCATAAACCAGAAAATACCAATCGCAAAACTTTGCATGATCACACCTGCAGAGCTATTGTTTTCAATCTTCTCAAAGAATCTCAGAGTATCTCCCAGCTTTTGACTATATAACTGACCTTGATTCCAATTCATTCTTTTCCTCTATAAGTCAAAATCGATTGCGCAAGAACACCAAAGACTGAGGATGAAGAGCCCAATATCAAGACACCATTCTTATAAGACAACTAAATTACAAACTACTAAGTGCCATTCCAAAATCAGACGATTAAATCACTTGCCGCCATTTTCTTCTCGTTCCACGGATCTCCCAACCTTGGCCGAAGATTCCCGGCTTTGCCAACTTTGGTTCTTCATCTTGATATAGCTAGTTGCTCTTCCAGAAGTCTTTAGATTGTGTTCAGACCCATACATCCCAGCGGTAGTCCGTCGATTGACATCATCGGCGCGAAGGAATCCTGATTCTAGACTCATCAAGAATGGTTTCAGGAATGGAATACACGCGGCCATAATGCCAGTGCTCTGGACGACCATTTGGCAGACTGTAGTCTGCCATATGTTATTAAGGAACAGATCATTGATAAGAAGGCGCCGGGTATAAGCGACCTGGATAACTGAAGCCACCACGACCCTATAGTAATAGTCAGGTATAAGGTCTCAGCAGGGGACATGAACTTGGGCATGCCTACGTTAATCGAAGCCAAAATGCACTTAGAATAGTAATTCGTGTCCCCCACGGCATCTGTATGGGTAATATGATGATTGTTGGCAATATAACTAGAGCAAGATCTGTCAAAATATTCATTACAGCGATGTAAATCTTCACAGCACGCTTATGCAGTATTAGTTCGACCCCTAACTTTCACACCTGAGAATTTGTGACTTACAATATCGATACATGTAGGGTCAACAACATTCCATCTCTGCGGAGATGGACACTGGAAAGCCACGGCAAACACTGAAGTAGTCCCCCATGCGACAGTGACTGCACTGGCTATATATATCACGATTCGATGCCAGACTACTGGTGTGATGGACCAAAGAGCCGCAAATACGGAGCTCTTTACGAAGACAAAACTGAAGATGCTCAGGATTTCGATGCTGTATAGAGCCTACTTAATTCAGCATTGAGCAAAAATCTTGTAAAATAACTTCCATACCTTAAGTGCCCCGTGTATGGTCTCCATTGGAAGTTCTACAGGCGAGTTTCCTATGACCTGGCCTGCGGGGCTCAACAAGGTCGAAGTTTGACCTATATAAAAGACCTTCGGTTTGTCAATATTATGAGAGATACAAAGGATTCGTAGGTTCAACAGGGGTCTTACAAGTGCAGCAAATAGAAGAGCATCAGAGACCCCAAAAGGCCTGGAAATAGCAATTTTCGTAAGAAATTGAGCAGCCACAGATAGAATAGAGAACGTGAGAAGAAGCCAGGCCAAAATTTGAATGACCGGCGCTACATGGCTACCATCAATCTTCGGCTCATTTCGCGGAACAAAAAAAAAGTACGGCTGAGAACTCATCGCGAATCACTTAGACAGAGAAATCTACTAGACGGCAAGTGAGAGGGAGGCCATGAGGTGATAAAGGCGCACTAACGACTCATTGTAACTCGAGATAGAATGACGATTTCTAAGCTATACTACGAGTAAAAACCAAGCCGACAGCTGGTTGCAAGGCATTCTCATGTTTAGAAAGATTTTGAAAGAAGACAGAGTCCGAGGGGGGTGGAAGAGTGGCACCTTGTGTAACCCGCTGCATGTCCGTTGAAGATACGACATTGAATGCAGTACGACCTTCCTAGCCCTTGGAATGATGTGTTGAAGAATCAAGGTTTCGCATACCACTCACTCATGGCTTCATGCAGAATAACTTACATTTCTCCGCGAATATAAAAGTAATAAGGGTGCTTGGGGGAGACTCTGTCGTGAATGAGCTCGTGTCACTGCTTTGGGCGGCGCGCATACCACTTGGACATTGGTAACATATTACTTGCATCCCAGGCAGTTAATCTCACCTGCTGAAGTTGCAACCACACTTTCAGCATCCAAGAATCTTCACGCCTCCAACATGCGCTTACTCTTGGGAGTGGACGCGGAGTTTCGTATCAAATTCAATATCGTACCACTTATTACCTTCCAATCAAATCTTGGTGAAGTTGCCGACAGCATAACACTCCAATGATATATCCCTTTCAACTATGGATGAAAAAATACAACATATTTTACCTCGCTCGCTCACCTAGAAACTCTCGTACTACACCCGGTGATATTCTTGAAGAGGGCCAGGCTGATAATTTCACGAATTTCCTCACCGAAACTAATCGAAGCTTATGTAGTTTGATTGTTCATATTAATTCAATTTCGGATAGAAAGACGTTTAGAATATAATAAACTAATGCACATTTAGATTTATTTTTAACATAAATCTCAGCTTTTTTTTTAATTTTCTATAAAATAATCGAAAAGTTATATCAATAATTCGAAATTCCTTGGTAATTTTGATATTTTTGTTGATATTACCCAGACCCTCTTCAAAAGCATCACCGAGTCCCTGAAGCTTACTTGCATGTCCGGCTTGGCGACGTTCGTACTACAGTAATCAACTCACCAGCCGGGATGCGATAAGACCGGACCGTATAGTGAATCTCCATGGCTATTACTTCACCTGAGAATGAAGGGCATGGGGCATGTATGGATATCTGATCATGTAGGTCAATTATCAAATGAACACAGTGCATTCTATAATATAAGCTGCAGGACTAATTCACTATGCCCAGACTAGTAGCCTTGATATCTTTTGTTTCCTTCTCAATCACTCGCTGGCAGTTCACCTTCAACTTCAATCAACATTTCCGCCTTTTTTTCATGAAGAGAACGAGAGAAAACTTGCAGAGATCCGCAATGGATATGGAACTCCAGAACAGAAAGCATGCCACAAATATCGCTTCAGACACTTCTCTCGCCGAAGACGTTGACGAAGCGGGTTGCACCAGAGATGAACGAGATTTAATCAGGCTTGGCAAAAAGCCTGTTTTGAAGGTACGTATATGTTCATGTTATAGACCCCTCTGGTGATAAACCTTGCTAACGATGTATAGCGCAACTTTGGCTTCATGTCCATTTTAGGGTTTTCATGTACTGTCCTTATTACCTGGGAGGGAATGTTGATGTTTGTACGCCCAACATCCAATGCCAATACATTGAGTCTGTCTTCCATGATTTATGGCAACGGCTGACGCACCATAGAGTATCAACCCAGAGCCTTGAGAAGTAAGAGACACACCTCTTTAGCAAGCACGATTGCTGACGGAAGTAGTGGTGGTCCTGCCGGAGTCATCTGGGGATACATTATCGTATGGATCGGAACCATGTCAACCTTTATTGTTTTGTCAGAATTGGCTTCTATGTGAGAAAAAAGTCTCTTAGATATGACTAGATCATTTGTACTAACGCTTCGACAACAGGGCACCAATAGCAGCAGGTCAATACCAGTAAGCTATCATTAATTCTACGACCACCCCCTCAACTCGTGGAATTTTCTAACGGCAAAACACAGTTGGGTTGCAATGTTAGCTCCTGACAGATCCAAACGATTCCTAAGTTACATTACGGGTATGTGAATGTTTCTACAGAGAGTCTCGTGGTTCGAGGCATAGAATAGAGTTAATTTAAACGTAGGATGGATGACATTCGCCGGATGGCAAGCGGTCACCGCGTCTGCAGCATACCTTATAGGGACGCTTTTGCAGAGTGTCATACTGATGACAAAATCGGACTATGTTCCAAAACCATGGCAGTCGATGCTCTTCTTGTGGGCCATTCTCGCCTTTGCAGTTGTAATCAACACGGTAGCAAGCAAGACTCTCGCGCACTTTGAAGGTGTGATTCTGGTTCTACACATCCTAGGGTTCTTCGCCGTTTTGATCCCGCTCGTTTATCTCTCACCGCATGGCGATACTTCCCTCTTTACGACCTTTGTAAATGAAGGCGGGTGGTCCTCGCAAGGACTATCATTCATGATTGGCTTGCCAGCTTCTGTTTTCTCGCTTATTGGTGCTGATTCGGCCGTTCATGTAAGATGAGATCCAGCTTGTCAGTTCAATGAAAGATCTTCGGCTAACCAGCGGATTACTTGTATCCAACACAGATGTCGGAAGAGATTAAAAGAGCATCAATCGTTGTACCTCGCGCAATGCTCAGTGGTCTCATTCTCAATGGTATTCTAGGCTTTGCCATGATGATCGCATATCTCTTCTGCTTAGGGAACCTCGATGATGTGTTGAACGCACAAGAAACATTAGGATACTCATTTCTTTACGTCTTCCAGACAGGAACCGGTTCAACTGCGGGAGCTGCCGTGATGGGCTTACTCGTCGTGGCTCTCGGTGTCTGTAGCACAGTGGGTGCCCTCGCCTCATCCTCTAGGATGCTATGGTCTTTTGCCAGAGACAGAGGTGTTCCACTATGGAGGATTTGGGTAAAGGTGAACACCTAATTTCTCAATTTCACCCATATGATACCTCTCGGGATGTATTAGATGGCTAACCTCTGATCGCTAGCTTGACCGCCGAACCTCAATCCCCATATACACCATTGCGTTTACCACTGGTGTTTCCGTGCTCCTTTCACTTATTATTCTCGGCTCGGGTGTTGCATTTAACAATATCGTCAATCTCAGTATTGCAGGTCTCTATTCTTCGTATCTCATCTGCTGCGGCCTGCTTCTTTGGCGGCGGCTACAGTCTCCTGGAATCAAGGCGTATAACCCGCGTATTCTAAGAGTCGGTCCAGATAACTTACACTGGGGCCCGTGGCGCATCCCGGGAATATTGGGTGTCCTTAACAATGCTTTCGCGTGTTTGTATCTTTTCGTGCTGTGGTTTTGGGCTTTCTGGCCCCCACAGACACCAGTTGCTCCGGCAACCATGAACTTTAGTATTCTCACATTTGGTGCAACGGTTTTATTTGCAGTTTTCTGGTATCTAGTTGATGGACGAAAGTCATATCAAGGACCATTGATAGAGATTGAGCTGTAGATAGATCGAATTGCATGTGTTTTTGAAACTGAGTTTTTGGGTGGTGAATTGTAGACTGCTATAGGCGCAAGTGGCATTTTTGGATTTATATCCGAGATTGGGTCCCAACTAATCGTGGGTATATTGACTGTTCTGAATCAATCCAGAAATTTATGTATCTATCCTCAAAATGTCGAGATAATAGATAGCCCTATCAGTGATCCCTTGTGTTCCATATTCCCCGATAGGTAACCGAATCATCGGGTCGGGCTGAATACCCAACTAGGCCGTCTCCCCTCCATCTCCCCTCGAGCTCCCCTTCATCCATCCGAATACCATCTCAAACCAGAACACTACTAATAAAAATCTCCAGAAGCATACATCCCATCACATCACATCACAGAGCCCAATAATATCCCTAATCATACTCGTAAATTACTTATAAATTATCTCCTCTCATTCATTCATTCATCCATCCACCTACCTAAGCAAACGTGCCTCCCAAAGTCACTAGAAACGCATTAATCTCTCGACTTAAAAAACCACAGATCTTCATTTCAATCAAATAAAATCCCTAGTCACGCATCTTTCGCCCTATCAAATGTCTAATACCAAATCATTTCAAGGAAGCACTGCATGAGCAATGCAATTCGACAGATATAAAAGGTAAATCATAAGCACTACCTCTGCAGCAATTTCAATAAACTAGGTCATCTCACGATGTATAAGAGGCAAGGATATGGAAATCTCAACTGTAATGTAGATTAACATCGTGTTTGGAAAATGGCAATATTTAATAGTGGTACAAATGAGAATGTAGAAAGGACCTCGAGGCTCGATACTAGACTAATAGAATGTTATCCACGAGAATCTTATTTCCTTAACGCCACCAATCCGATCGTCTCAAAACATGGCATCATAGTCAAAAACCAACGCCTTTACCATATGTTGAGCAAACAACAGTAACCAAACCAACTCCGCCTTTCCCCTCCCCTCTGAGAAACTCCCCCTGTGAATGTCCTTCTCCCTCCCCAAAAACAAAACTCTCCCCAAAAAGAAAAATAAAGAATCATTAAATCCACCCCTCCGTATCAGAATCATCTTCGAAACTCGCCGAACATCGCGAATAGTTACTCTCACTATATGCGTCTTCTCGATCCGCATATGCATCCCTGCCATTAACCCACCTCCCTCGTCCTTGCGCTACATATCCATAATCCATTATAACATCATCCACGCTATTCATTAGACTTTCCAGTCCCTGGTCTAATTCCTCATGTTCATCTCCCGTGTATTCTGTCTCGGAGCTGATTCCGGAAAATTCAATTGGGAGATTACCCCTTGCGCTTGACCTGGATGGTAGAGGTGTATGAGATTCGTTTTCATTGTCGTTCGTATCTCTGTGAGCGCGATTCTGCATCATACTGTTGCTCTCTTCTGATTTCCATCTAAACCTCAGTTTCTCTCTTACATCTTCCCATCCACTCACTCTTCCCCACAACCATT